TCCAATTACCATTTAAAATGTGAAATCAGAGCATCTATGATCTTGTTAATTTCTGTTTGATACGCACTCTTCCCAAAATAAGTGATATTCTCAAACAGTGATTCATACATTTGCAATTTCTTTTTTTTCACACTTGCAATTTCTGTACTATCCTTTTTAGTTTATTTTGAAATTTGATAAGTATATTCATATCTTTTTTAATGTTTATTTATTTATTCTGAAGGAGAGAGAGAGTGAGGGAGAGAAAGAAAGCATGGGGGAGGGGCATAGAGAGAGGGAGAGAGAGAATCCCAAGCAGGCTCTGTGTTTTCAGTACAGAGCCTGACTCAGGGCTTAATCCCACAAACCATGAGATCATGACCTCAGCCAAAATCAAAAGTTGGGTGCTCAACCGAATGAGCTAGCCAGGCGCCCCCCATACTTTTTTAAAAAGATTTTTAAGGGGCGCCTGGATGGCTTAGTCGGTTAAGCGTCCGACTTTCGCTTAGGTCATGATCTCGCGGTTCGTGGGTTCGAGCCCCGCGTCGGGCTGTGTGTTGACTGCAAGCTCAGAGCCTTGGAGCCTGTTTCAGTCTGTGACTCTCTCTCTGACCCTCCCCTGCTCACGCTGTCTCTCTCTCTCCTAGAAATAAATTAAAAAAAATATTTAAAAAGATTTTTAAAAATGTTTTATTTATTTCTGAGAGAGAGAGACAGTGTGAGCAGGGGAGGGTCAGAGAGAGAGGGAGACACAGAATCTGAAGCAGGTTCCAGGCTCTGAGCTAGCTGTCAGCACAGAGCCCAACGTGGGGCTTGAACCGATGAACCGTGAGATCATGACCTGAGCCAAAGTCAGACGCTTAACCAACTGAACCACCCAAGCACCCCTTAAAAAGATTTTTAAAGTAATCTCTACACTCAACATGGGGCTCAAACTGAACCAGCCAGGCGCCCCAAGTGTATTCGTATCTTGTACTAATGTTGTACATTCAGCAAAATCTCAAAGTTACGTTCTCTTATTTGTTGAAAGCAGAGGAATGAGCCTTCTATTAAGCTTGTAGCTTTTTCCATAGTCAGGTTTTTTTTTTGACTGCAGAGTTTTACAGACTTTTACCACTTGGCTCAAAGTATCACCCTGCACAAATAAGTCCCAGACACATTTGTCATCTGTTTTTACCAAGATGCTTTTGATTTCAAAACAATGTATTTTATCATTTCATAGTATATATTTTTATAATGAACATTTTTTATTTGTGAGCAAAATGCCTTGATTACATTTAATCTTGGTGCCCATCAAATATCTATACATGTTTTTAATGTTTTTAAGGCAGACATAATATCCCATCTGTGGGCACCTGGCTGGCATAGTCGGAAGAGTGTATGATTCTTCATCTTGGGGTCTTGAGTTTGAGCCCCATGTTGGGTGTAGAGATTCCTTAAATAAATACATATTTTTTAAAAAAGAATATCCCATCTGCTAGTTCAATTCACAAATCATTTCACAATATATACATACATGAAATAATCATGTTGTATGCCTTAAAAACACAGTATAATAAGTTAATTATACCTAAATAAAGCCGGAAAAATTTAAAATTAAAACGTCATTTTCTAAATAAATAAATAAATAAATAAATAGTCATTTTCAGTATCTGAAATATTCAGTTTTATAGCAAAAATTATAACTACTTTTTGTAATTTTAATTCATTTTATTTTTCTCTTTTCCTGAACATTGTACCACTTGGATTTTTACATACTATATTTGTGTTTGAACATTTTTAGTGTTGATTTAAAATATATTCTTACTAACACAATATTTACAGTAAGTATGTGTATTAATTGCTTAATATATATTAAGATCCTATAAATTATAATATTTACTATAGGATTGGTGTGCATAAAAATTTATACCAAAAACACAAAAATCAACCATTATAAACAGCAGAAAACTATGTACCAGATTTTCAGAAAAATCTGGTGAGAAACAAGTATTGAACAGTAATTTTTTATAAAAGAATTTAATGAAAACAAAGCAAACTGTCACTGTTTTTTTAACGTTTATTTATTTTTGAGAGAGAGAGTGAATGGGGGTGCAAAGAAGAGGGATTGAGGATCCAAAGTGAGCTCTGTGCTCACAGCAGAGAACCCAAAGCGGAGCTCGAACTCAGAACCCTGAGATCAAGAGTCAGATGCTCCACAGACTGAACCAGCCAGGCACCCCCACCACATGTTATTATAATATTATTGATCATATTACCTATGCTATGCTTTTCATCCCTGTGACTTATTTTATAAGAAGTTTCTACTCTTAATATCCTTTGGCTATTTTGTCCATTCCTCACAACCCTTCCCCTCTGGCAACCACCAGTTTTTCAGAGATTTTTTTTTGTATGTCATTAAGCCTGATCCCACCCATGTTACATGATTCTTGAGGTAGTGCAAGTGCAGGGTGAAATCCTGTCCCTTTTTTAAGTTTATTTATTTATTTTGAGAGAGGAGAGGGAGGGGCAGAGAGAGAATCCCAAGCAAGTCCCTCACTGCCAGAAGGAAACCCAGTGGTGGGGTGGGGGGAGGCATGAACTCACAAATTGTGAGATCATAACCTGAGCCAAAATCAAGAGTTGGATGCTTAACCGACTGAGCCACCCAGGTGCCCCCTGAAATCCTATCTTGATGTAAAATTTTGATATTGTGTACATCATGGATTGCTTTGAATTTTTACCTTTTTTCAATATTGCAGTAAAATGTTAGTTATCCCTATGTTACCTATACTGGAATTAAAATTTTAAAAACAAAACGTTTTTTATCTTGATTGCTGAGGTTTTTGACATCCCTTTAAATTTTGCACCCAAGGCAAGTGCCTCACTTGCCTTATCTTTTTTTTTTTTTATGTTTTATTTTTTTGAGAGAAAGAGCGACAGACAGCGTGAGCAGGGGAGGGTCAGAGAGAGAGGGAGACACAGAATCAGAAGCAGGCTCCAGGTTCTGAGCCCGACGCAGGGCTCAAACCTACAAACCATGAGATCATGACCTGAGTGGAAGTTGGACGCTAAACCGACTGAGCCACCCAGGCGCCACTCACTTGCCTTATCTTAATCCTAGCTATAGTTGGGTCTGTTTTGTATTTTTCTGGTCTTGAAATCCTTGCCTTTAAAGTGGGTTTTTAGTCCATTTACACTCTATGGAGTTATTGATATGGTCAGATTAAGCTCTATCATATGTTTTCTATCTGTTCCTTCTGGGTTTTGATCCTCTGTCCCTCCTTTCCTACCCTCTTTTGAGTTAACAAAATGTATTTTAATATTCAAGTGTTATTCTTTTATTTTTCTAATTTTAGAAAGAGAGTGTGTGGAAGCAGGGGAGAGGGGCACAGGGAGAGAGAGGGAGAATCTCAAGCAGTCTCCACACTCAGCATGAGCCTGACACAGAGCTCCATCCTACGACCCTGGGATCATGACCAGAGCCAAAATTAAGAGCTGGATGCTCAACCGACTGAGCCACCCAGGCACCCCTCAATTGTTATTCTTTTACTGGCTTTTCACCTGTGCCTGTTTTCATTATTTTCTTTAGAGGTGACCTTGGTGATAACAAAATGCATCCTTATGATGCAAATGAAAGTTAACAGTGTACCATTTCACATAAGATGCAAAAACCTTGCAACAGAATAGTTTCATTTCCCAAATCCTGTCCTTCGTGGTGTTGTGTGTTATATCTGCTTACACTGTAAAGTCTACAATTTAGCTTGATCCTCCTTTCTTTCTAAGTAAACTCTGTGCCCAATGTGGGGCTCAAACTTGGGACCCTGAGATCAAGAGTTGCGTGCTCGGGGCGCCTGGCTGTCTCAGTCGGTTAAGCGTCCGACTTCGGCTCAGGTCATGATCTCGCAGTTCGTGGGTTCGAGCTCCGCATTGGGCTCTGTGCTGACAGCTCAGACCCTGGAGCCTGCTTCAGATTCTGTGTCTCTCTCTCTGCCCCTCCCCTGCTCATGCTCTGTCTCTCTCTCTGTCTCAAAAATAAATAAACATTAAAAAAAAAAGTTGCGTGCTCTACTGACTGATTCAGTCGGGAGATCCAGTTTGATCCTCTTGAGACAGGTTTTAAGGATATTTTATTTTATTTTTATTTTATTTTACAAATAGTTTATTGTCAAATTAGTTTCCACATAACACTCAGTGCTCATCCCCATAAGTGTCCTCCTCCATGCCCATCCCTCCTCCCCCCCACATCCATCAGTCCTCAGTGTTTGTCAGCATTCAAGAGTCTCTCATGGTTTGCCTCTCTCCCTTTCCCCCACCATTTCCGCCCTTCTTCTCCCCCTTGGTCCTCTGTCAAGTTCCTCCTAATCCTCCTATACGTGCAAACATATGATATTTGTCCTTCTCTACCTGACTTATTTCGCTCAGCATAACACTCTCAAGGTCCATCCATGTGGCTACACATGGCCAGATTTCATTCCTTCTCATTGCCATGTAGTATTCCATGGTATAGATAAACCACATCTTCTTGATACATTCATCTGTTGATGGACACTTAGGCTCTTTCCATGTTTTAGCTATTGTGGAGAGTGCTGCTATGAACATTGGGGTCCATGTGCCCCTATGCATCAGCATTTCTGTAAAGGATATTTTAGAGAGGGTCTAATGTAACTCTTACTCTTCTTGCTGGGGCTGGCTGAAATGGCCTACTCTTAAGGCATGGCCTTTCCGGGGTGTTTGTTTCTCATTGAGGTATTGGATGAAGACTCTCCACTCAGGCTGGTCAAAAGTCCTGTATCTCCCAGAACTGTGCAAGCATCCATTCAGCTCATGGAATACGAGGACTAATCTCTGCTTGGCCTCCCAGTTTCTCAACAGAAGCCTGCACAGCCTAGCATTTGGCCACAAACCTACAGCAACGCCTCTGGTGATTTCTGGAAGTCCGCCTCTAAAACCTCCTTTCTCTCTAGTAGAGTGAAATCCCAGCAGCTCTGCTATCTCGTCTGTTCCTCCCCAGCTCAGCTATATTGCTATTCTCTCTCTAGGCTCTACTTCCCTTCAGACAAGTCCTGAAAATGACCCAGGTGGAAAGAATACAGTCCAAGCTCACTGCAAGCTTCACTTCTCTTGGCCATCACCTTCCATCCAGTGGAGCAGAGGACACCAGAGAGCCTTGATAAGCCTATCTGTAGGATGATACCAACTTTGGTCTCGGGGCTCCCCCCCAAAAAGAAAGAAAACCAGGACTGACAGATGGAGACAAAAATGGCTGTTTGCTCAAATAGACAACCAGTCTTTCCTTGTCTTATGTGATCTTGACACTTGAAGACTATGGGTAAAATATTGTACAGAATCGCCCCCGATTTGGATTTCTCTGCTCTTTTCTCATGATTACACAGAGGTTATGGTGTTTTGAGGAAGAATACAAAGAAAGTGAAATGTCCTTCTCACTGCATCATATCAGGGGGTACATGACAGCAATGTGTCACATAACTGATGATGTTAACTCATCTCTTGGTTAAGGTGGCGTCTGCCAGGTTTTTCCTTGGTTAAGTTACTTTTTTTCACTTTCCATACTCTTGTCATTAGGTGCAAGTGACTGAGTCCAGCTCGTATGCAAGAGGAAAGGAATTAAGGTCCAACTCCTGGCAGTGGGGGATCAAATATTGAATAAGTGTTTTGGAGGTGATACTTTAAGGCTGTGCAACTATGGTGTTCACCTTAAAGTTTTCTTTTTAAGTTTTACTTAACAGAAAATGTTTTAAATGTTTTTTATGAGAGAGACAGAGACAGAGACAGAGAAAGGAGACACAGAATCTGAAGCAGGCTTCGGGTTCTGAGCTGTCAGCACAGAGCCCAATGCAGGGCTCAAACACACGAACTGCGAGATCGTGACCTGAGCCATAGTGGGATGCTTAACTGACTGAGCCACCCAGGCTCCCCATAATTTTTAAATTCAATTATACTTGACACATTTCTTTTTGTTCACCTTCAAGTTTTGTCCACTAATTTTAGCATTTAGGGGATCATGTCTGCAGCAATTATGACTGGTATTTTAATGGTAATTTTCTATTTTCCTTATTCCTTCTCTATTATTTGGAATTCTTTTTTTAAATGTTTATTTATTTTGAGAGACAGAGTTGGGGGGGTGCAGAGAGAGAGAGGGAGAGAAATAATCCCAAGCATGCTCCACACTGTCAGCACAGAGCCCGATGTAGGGCTCAATCCCATGAACTATGAGATCACAACCTAAGCCAAAATCAAGAGTTGGTTGGCTTAACCAACTGCACCACCCAGGCACTCCTATAATTTGGAATTCTTATGTATGTAAGAGTTGTCCAGTCTCCAGAATTTATTCATTCAACCATATCACTTATTTATATAACTACGGAATCACTGACATTTAATTTGGGCGCACTATAAACCAATACTATCATTATTTTTTTGGTGCTCAAGTTGTTCCAGCTTTGGCCATTGTAAGCTTTCAGGTCAGTTCTTCTATTCTTATGACATGTTCCCATTTGCGGGGGGGGGCGACCTCCTTACTTTTTGGGACTGTATGATGCTCCAGGATCACCTTGTATTTCCCTACCCTGGCCTTTAAAACCAGCCATTTCTCCAACGATCCTGGTTCCTTTTACTGGAGAACGACATTTAGAAACCAAGATCTGGGTAAGAAAGACGCTCATGTGTAGCGTCTAGGCCTTCTCAGTGGACAGACTGAGAAACTGCCGGAGGAAACCAAGACCAAGACGTGATGGCTAAATGCAGCATGGTATCTGTGGTAGGGACCTGCTAAGGTGGTTCTTTAGGGATCCCTGCCTACAGATATTCCTGGTCTTTTGTAATTCCCTCCCTTTGAGTAACTTGATTCAAATCAACAGAATGCCTCGCCTTTGAGGTGTCACTTCCTGTGATTAGATGACAAGACACTGTAACTTCCATGTTGCTAGTTGGCTCTCTTGCTGGCTTTGAAAAAGCAAACTGCCACGCTGTGAGCTGCCTCATGGAAGGAAAGGAAGGAGCACAGGGCTTGCTGACAGCTGGCAAGGAACTGAGGCCCTCGGTTCAACGGGCTACAGAGAACCGGATCATGCCCAACACTTTCCTCGACTGTACCCTTGCAGGAGCCACTGGAGTAGAGGACCCAGCTAACAGCCTGGAGATAAAGAAGGTGCATTGTTTTTAGCCACCCAGATCCTGGTAACTTGCTACACAGGAAGCGATAACAAATGGAGTTTCCTTACTTGGATCCTAGAACAGAAAAAAAAAAAATCATGGAAAAACATCAAATCCAAATAAAGTCTGTGGAGTTCCTGGTGCTGTGCCAATGTTATTTTCTTAGCATTGATAAATATGCCATGGTTATGTAAGATATTTACATGAGGGGGAGCTGGGTGATGGGTATGGGAACGTTAATATCTCTGCAACTCTTCTGTAAACCTGAAATTGTATCAGAATACAAATTTGGAGGAAAAAAAACCACCTCTGGGTGTTACAGGTTATATTTACCAAATTCAAAAGAGAATCTGGCAGATTCAAGGAGAAAAAAAGTAAAGAAAAGGTATCAGAGAGCCTCCAGGCTGGAGAAAGAGACTCAGCAACCAGGCCTCAGGGTCAGTGTGACTGGCTAAAAGGAGTAGCCAGTGTGGTGGTTATTAGCCGCTAGGGGAGACGCAGGGCAGGCCTGATGCCTGCCCTGGGAATCAGAGTCTGGTGGAGGAATTCCAAAACTAATATTTTTCTCAGTCTTCAACAAGATACTTGTATTTGTTTACCTCCATTTAACGCCCTTCCCCCCCCAAATGTCAACATTTGTTCCAAAATTGAATTGCTTGCCTGTTCCTCTACCTTTGTGGTTTTTGTTTTTTGCCCTTTCAACCATCTGGCATACCTCTACGGTCTGCCAGCAGATAGCCTCCTACACTTCTTGTTGGTTTCAAAAGTGAATGTGCAAAACAATCTTTGCCTCCTCTGCCCTCAATGACCTTCTTCAAGCCAGATCTCTCACTCACTTAACTTTACCATTTAGCTCTTCATCCATTTATGGGTATTATCTTCAGATAGTTAAATTCTGGCCCTCAGTTTCTTCAAATGGGAAATGGGAACAAGAATTAGCACTTTCTTGATAAATATTCCTTAGATTAAAAAATTAGGTGGGGGTACCTGGGTAGCTCAGTTGGTTAAGCCTCTGGTTTCAGCTTAGGTCATGAGAACACGGTTCATCGGGCTCTCTGCTGTCAGCACAGAGCCTGCTTTGGATCCTCTCTCCTTCTCTCTCTGCCCCTCCTCTGATTGTGTTGTCTCTGTCTGTCCCTCAAAAATAAACGTTAAAAAAAAATAGGTGAAACACTTCTAATAGGAGGGTACCTGGCAGGTAGTTAAGGACTCACTGCTTTTGCTTACAGGGTTTTCCTCCAGTCCCTCTATCTAAATTCTTGTACGCATCCCACTTAAATTGGTTTCTTCTAAGAACCTTTCTTTCTCCCAGCCAGCATGGACCATGCTCACTGTACAGTCAAAAGCAAGACAGGAGACTCTTTGCCAAAGTTAAAAGCGCATCAAACACGCCTAGCATTTATTATTTTAGTCACAAACCTACAGACCCTTTAGTACACCCTACTTGGGGCTTGACCCCAAGGATCCAAAGCTGATAACCTTGGGTGTATGTGGTAGGAAGGATGGGGATGGGCAGGGAGTGTCTCTTAATGACTCTGAAATGGGGAGGACTCCTCCAAACGAAGAACTGGGTGGAGGCTGGGGGTTGGAGGTGACCTAGCTTCTGAGTGGGTGGGGGGAGGTCAATAAAAAAAAAACAGATAAAAGAGGGGAACATGTTTTTGCAACCCTCACTCCAAGCCTCTGCTTTGGTGGGGCAGGTTTCCACTTTTTCCTGGGCTCAACAACTCCCCAAAAAGGCCCCTTCCTTCCTCCTTTTCCTATACAAAATGTCAGAGTGCTGGGGTGCTGGTTCGGGGAACCTGACCTCAGTACCCCCTAATTCCTATTACTTCCCCAAACTGCCCTTCAAGGAAGGAGGCAGGACTCTACCCAAAGCTGAGGGTCTAACTCTCACTCCAGACATAGGCCTGGAATGTCGGCCCACAAGATTTGAAGATGTGCCCCTTTCTCCAAGGGCAAGATTGGCTCAGAGCCCTCCTAGGTTAGGTTCCATTGGTCCCAGGTTAAGGCTGGGGAGCTTAAGTAGCACTCCCCCCTGTAGCATGGAATGCTTGGATGGGGTGTCGCTAAGGGACAAGGTCTGTGATCTCCACATGGTGGCCTGATCTTATGGCCTCCTCCATGCCTGAAATACCTGCGCTGGGCTGATCCTATAGGGAAGGGGTGGGGCCTGGCTCCTATGTTGCTAGAAGGCCAGGACTGAGCTCCCAGGTGAAGGGGATCTCATCCTCACTTCTGTTCCTTGTCTGGACAGGGTAGGGATCATGGGAAAGGGGCAAGGCCTAAACCCTCAGGGTGGGACCTCTGTTATTTTGACCCTCTTCCTTGCCATGGTGGACTAGACTAGTGGTTCCAAGAGAGGGGATGGACCAGTACCTTGATACCTCCTTATCCCTGGAGATCTGGCTAGGAAAGTCCCCAAGTCTCAGGGGCCCAGCTCATCTGCCTCCTTCCCTCACCTGGGCAAGGGCAGGTCCCATGGGGTGCGGGTAAGGCTGTGACTTCCAGGGGACAGGCCTTGATGTTACCACCTTCTCCATGGCTTAAATACCTTGCTGGCTGGTATTGTGGGGAAGGGGCGGGGCCACACCTGACTCCTCCTCCTTGCCTTGTTACAGGGGTGGGGCCTTGTCACATCTCCTCTTCCCCCAGAACACCTGGGCAGGGCAGTCTCATGGGAGGGTGGGGGAAAAGGCGGGGCCTCATCCTGATACACTCCTCCTTTCCTGGGTGGGGAAGTCCCAGGGGAGGGGTGAGGCCTGATCAGGACTCCTCCTCCATGCTGAAGCTGCTGCGGCGACTGCTGGCCTTGGAGACAGCGGGGGATACCGATGAGAGCAGGGGGTCAGAGGCAGCCCGCAGAGGGGACAGGGCGCCCGAAAGTCCCCCCACCCCCCCTTCCTCCTCCTCCATCAGAATGTCCTCCAGCCCCAGGTGGAAGGGGTCCCCCAGGTCCCCCAGGTGGTCGCTGGGAAAGTGCAGGTCCAGAAGGGCATCCGAGGGTGGCGCTGGGGGCTGCTGATGGGGAGCACTCTGGGCAGAACCCCCCGCTGCATGAAATGTTGCTGTGCCTGGCCTGCCCTCCTCCTCAACGTCCAGCTGCTCTGGCTTGAGGCTGTCAGAGGCAGAAGTTGTGGCCAGGGAGAGCAGCCCTGGGGTGGGAGGTACTGGCAAACCATGGATCTGTGCCTGTAATTCTAGCTCCTGCAAAATGTAGGGGGTGGGAGTGGGGTAAGATGGAGTTCACAGTTCCTCAGAGGCAGAGGAGTTTAAAGGTGAAAAGAGCAGGCTGCCTGCATTTGAAATCAGCCTCTGCCACTCACTAGCTGTATAACTTTAGGCACGTTGCTTAACCTCTCTGAGTCTCAGAGTCCCAATCTGTAAAATGAGTACAACG